AAGGCAATAAGGTGAGACCAGGCTGTTTTAAAAATAGACTTTTTATATTAGGGATGTTTAAGTATACTGAAATCACTTGTTGTGAAAACCACTAAAACATTTCTCCATCTTTCTAACTTATTTTCATTTCTATTATTCACTGCCAAACACTCTAAATTTCTTTCCTTTTCAAAGACATTTGGGAAGGGGTGGTCTAGAATGTGTGTTCTATTCCTGGATGTTTTTCTTACAACATTTGGTTAAATCTGGCCAAGGTGGACATTCAGTAAATATTCATTTTTTAACAAAACACAATAAAAACTAAAATTCATTAGGAGGTGAGCCCGGGGAAGTTAAATCTTGACTTTCAGATGTTATACTCCAGGAAGAATTAAAAAGAATTTCCTTTTTATTTCGTGTAGATTTTATTAATTTCTTTTGTGGGTCAACCCAATATGAATATAGCGCCTCTGAAGATGTTAAAAGTAAATGACCTCCTGAATTGCTGACCCTCTTTTGCAGCTGCGGCATCTAAAATGGGTCCCTCTGTGTTATGTTTTAGACCTGTGGATTACGTCATGATCAGCTGCACGTAAGTAGGTTAGGTGAGGTACTCTTACAAAGAGATGGGGATTTCCTATGTTGCCCAGGCTTGCCTCACACTCGACTTCTGGACTCAAGTGATCCTCCAGCCTAAGCCTTCTGAGTAGCTAGGGGTAAGGTACGTGCCACTGCATCCAGCTAATTCTTATTTTAACACCATGTAAGCCCATTCCATGAAGTTATGGACAAAAAGGAAATCTGAAACTAGAACAAAGCAACCATCAGAGAGTGCATACCAAAAATTACTACGTCATGCAAGGGTAGTGTCAAATCACTTACCTTTTAGGAGATACTACTAAGTATCGTTAGCAATATGTATTTGCAATATTTTAAACTGAAGCCAAAGTTTTGATTTTCCTGGTTCTTCAATTTACAGAATTTTATAATTTTAACCCAACTCAAATGGCCTGTTGTTCATGTCATTCCTAACTTGAGACCAGCCTGTCATTTACTAACTGGCTGTTCACGGACATTTTTGGTTCTTTTTTGGATGATGTTTTGAACTTAGAAACCGATGATGACATATGTTTTTAAAAGTCTCATATTGCTTATGTCTGAATCAGCAGTAGATACATACTCTTAACGTAGTCTAGTTTTGTTTGCTCATTCCACAAGTTTTCAAATTTCCCAGTGATTCAGTAGACTTGTTAGAAAGATTTTAACCTACCATCCCAGTCCCATTGTGTTCAAGGTGGCACTGGAAACCACAGATCATTTCATCAATGGTAACCCAAAGCCCCGGCTTTCGTTTTAACAATTAAAAACCTGAGATGAAGACTTGTGTTGACAAGCAGTGTGCCAACACATTACAATGCGATGACATATCTTGATCACTGTCTAAAATAATTCATCCATGAACCATATCCTTTAGACAAGCAGTTTAATTTTTTCCTTAAGGAATCAGTGTTTGTTTTAATCTTCTGAGAAATTTTTTATTTGTCTCTGTTCAGTATTGTGAGGTTGGCCGGTGCCACGGGAATAAAGTAAAGAATTGCAGAGACAAGCAAAATGATGCATTACACTTCCCAGCGAGAAGGTCTGGGAAGGCACCAGCACTAGAGGAGCGTGGTGCAAAGTTTAAGGAGCGTGTGTGTATTTAAGGTTTCTGCAAGGGAGCGGAACTAGAAAGAAAAATTCCAGCAGCTGCATTCTCAGGCTTTGAGAACATAGGTCTGGCACCTTGAGGGTGGGGTATGACACTTTTTATGACTCCAGGTGATGCCTTGCGGTTTGTCAGGGAGGCTGATTCCTCTCGATTAGGTCATCCTGGCTCTTCATGGCTGAAAGACAGACTGGGAGTGAAAAAGATGAACAGTGCAAAGCCAGATTGGGAAGGGGGTTGTAAATTATCAGTAGTTATCTCGAAGGGAAATGGTTCTGATCTTGGCTAATGACTAGAGGGTAAATTAAAGTGAACGACTAGAAGAAACATGACAAAGCTAAGCAAAGTTAAAATGGCTGCCCTTTGACTCTCTTGGTCTTTTGTCCTTTCGATCTCTGTTAAAGAAAATTATAGAATATGTAATAGCATTTTCTCATTAACCTTTCTGTGTTTTTTTTCTTTTGTTCTATTTATGTTCTGAAATGGAATAGGAAACAAGGAGAATACTAAAGTTGTCTGATAACAGTCATTATTTTAAAAGATGAAAAATGGAAAATGGTGGCATTTACTTATTTATTGAGTCGGATTCTCACTCTGTCGCACAGCTGGAGTGCAGTGCACACTCACGGCCACCACAGCCCTGACCCGCTGGGCTCATATGATCCTTCCACTTCAGCCTCCTGAGTAACTGGGATTACAGGGATGCATCACCATGCCTGGCTAAGTTTTTGATTTATGGTAGCAACAAGGTCTCATCATGTTGCCTGGGCTGGTCTTGAACTCCTGGGCTCAAGCAATCCTTTTGCCTCTGCCTCCACCTCTCAAAGTGCTGGGATAACCGGTGTGAGCTACCAAGCCTGGCCAACAATAGCATTTTTTGATTTTCATTTATTATTAAAAATGTTTCTTTGTGGAGGAGGTGACATTGCGATGATCCTAAGAAAAAGGCTCTCATCTTACATTTCATTTCATTTCCATAGTGACTAGTATGGTATTATACATGATTGGTGCTCAATTAATATATTCATTGGCTCGATAACTAAAAAGGCTTCTTTTCTTCTAGTTAAAACCAATAACACTTCTACAGACACATGAAAGTCTTGAGAACAGGCGGCCTCTTTGACTCTTTTTCCTCCACTTTCAACCTGGAATAAAATGTCATTTATTTTCAAGCGTCTTCAAAGTCTTCTTTATTCTCTAGTAAGACTTTAAAAGTTTATGAAAATCTGGGCAGCCCCCTCCAGTCCCCTCCCACTGCAGGAGTTTTCCTGTCCTCTCGATAAATCTTGCTTACACACACACACACACAATTATGAAAATATTGGTTAAAAAGAAATGCTTTCCAATGAACTAATTTCTATAAGCTTGGCTGATGAGTCAAAGTTTTAGATAACTTTTCACTGAATCCTAAAATTAAATATTATCGTACATGCAAGAGGCTTAAGGTAAATCATTGCTTTGTGTTGCTGATTGAGCCCAAATCTAATCTTGAACTCATTGGAGCCAATCAATTCTAGGGGTCTCTTTGACTGTCTTTAGAATAGAAGCATAATACATTTCCCTCAACTGTTGCCTATTTCCATCAGTTTCTCTGGTTTCCTCTAAGGCCCTGGCGACTCCAGAGTACAGTTTTGTACCTGCCTGCACATTGGGATACCCCTTCCCTACTCACACTCGAGCTGTATTCATGCTCCTACTCCGTCTCTGTCTTGATATGAACTGAACTTCGTGTTCTGTGACTCTTAATCACTTAAATTAACTTGCGTCTGCATGCATCTATTTAAGGAAGTTCAAGAAATCTGAAGGTTGTGGCCTATATCACTCTACCCATTTCCCTCTGCAGGGAGCAAAGATGGCACTTTGATTTCACGACATTGAATGTGTGAAACTCTGAAAGAAATAGTGGAGCAGAGGCCCCAAGGACTACTTTTCTGAGTTGTTGGACCCAGATACTTCTTCTTTTGGGGGGGGGTCAGCGTCTCACTCTGTCACTCAGATTAGAGTGCGGTGGCACGCTCACAGCCACTGCAGTCTCGACTTGCTGGACTCAGTGATCCTTCCACCTTAGCCTTCCGGTAGCTGGAACTACAAGTGCATGCCACCACACTAAGTTAATTTTTTTATTTATTGTAGAGACGAGATCTCACCAAGTTGCTCAGAATGGTCTTAAACCCCTGGGCTCAGGCAATCCTCTCGTCTCCACCTCCCAAAGTGCTGGAATGACAGGCGTGAGCTACCATGCCCAGTCGGACCTATGTACTTCTATTGCTTGAACTTAACAATAAAAATCAGGAAACTTGAAATTGACCATGTGCTTGTCCACTACAATCCTCATTTTCCTGGGCACTCCCAGAGGTGTGGGAACCAAGCGGCTCAGCTTTTTAGAAAATATCTGAGAATAGATAGGGTAGAGGCCATATTGGATTGTGATCGAGAACATGAAGTCTTGAGTTGACTGGTCTGAGCTCAAATTGTGGTGGTACCGCTTATTAGCTATCTGAACTTGTACAGGTATCCAACTTCTCTGTGTTTCAGATTATTCATGTATAAGATACAAAAAAAGCCTTCTTATAGTACCCATGTAAGGCTGCTGGTGTAAAGACCAAAGAAGACAATGGCTTTCAAATCCAGCAGGCAGTCTTCCCTCGCCATGTGCTTACCATTATGGTTGTTGTATTCCAGTATAATTCTTCTGCCTCTGCTTGGACCGGTAAGGAATTCATGCAGACTCCATACTGGTTGAGAGGTCATGCCAGTGTGTTTAAATTTCTACTATGGAACTCAATCTTGTGGATGTGTTGCGGGAATTTGTTTGGTCGGGGTCTAATTCCACGGCCCTCGGGTAGACACACTCTTTCCCTTTGCTCCAGAGGAAATGTAGTTTAGACGGCATCAGGCTATCAACATTCTGGAAGCAGAACTAGGTTTCTCTCTACCAAAGTAAACATCCCATCTTGCTATTATTTGAAAAAGTAAAAGTAACTGCTTTCTTATGAAAGGGAAAAAAAATAAGCATTTTTGCTAAGCGAAGTGAAACAGTCACTACTCTCTGTTTCTTCCCACAGTATCCATAAATATGCTTAGGCCGTTTATTTAGCCGGATGGGTTTTGAGTCCCTGCTGAAATAAGAGATGCCCAAATTTATATTTCCCTCAAATTCTACCACAAACCACACTCCGGAGGGGGGAAAGAAAGTCGCCATGTAAGCATGTTTACCTTGAACTGACAAGGAAATTGAAGCACATCCATGAGCCATGACTCACCCCTGCAGGCTTATAAAAGGGAAGGCACATCGGCGGGAAAGCAGGGCCCTCGGGCACAACCACTCAAGATGCATCCAGGTGTCCTGACTGCCTTCCTTCTCTTGTGCTGGACTCAATGCCAGTCCCTGCCCCTTCCCAACGGTGAGGATGAGGATGACACGTCTGAGGAAGACCTCCAATTTGCAGAGGTAGGGTATCTTGCCAGTCCTGATGATGTGGTGCATCCCAAAAAGTCCCCTCTCTTTTAAAAGCAGGTCACTGTGGTCTCTTTTCTAGCGCTACCTGAGATCATTCTACCACCCCGTGAATCTCGCAGGAATCCTGAAGAAGAATGCGGCAAGCTCCATGGTTGATAGGCTCCGAGAGATGCAGTCCTTTTTTGGCTTGGAGGTGACTGGCAAACTAGACGATAACACCTTAGATGTCATGAAAAAACCAAGATGTGGGGTCCCTGATGTGGGTGAATACAATGTCTTCCCTCGGACCCTCAAATGGTCCAAAATGAATTTAACCTACAGGTAAATCGTTGGTGATCTTTTAGACATATTTGTTAGTTTTTTTCTTAAGAAAAAAATATTCAGTAGGCCTTAGATATTTTATTGGATGCGAAGTCAGTACAGTTATAGCTTTAATACTGTTGCTAAGAGTGTCTCACGACGTTTATTCTTGTTACATGAGTCCAGTATGACTTTTCCATGGAAATCTCAAAGTGCTTCTTTTAGAAATTAAATCAAAAGACAAGCACAAGTAGGAATTTGTGAACACATTTGTAAATACAATCCATCAGGTGTATTCATTTAACAATGCTGAAGAGGAAGAGGGCTGCTGTTTCTAGGAACTTTACAGAACTATTCCATCCATTTGGGTTATATCAATATAATTGCAAACATTCAACATGTAAAATAAGTTATATTAAAAATTGGAATATTTTAAATTTAGGGTGCCATATGGTCAGATATTTGGAGATACTCAAACGTCTGATTGAATTCTTCACTTTTTATTCTAGTAGAACTTTCAAGGAAGCTATTGCGTTTTGAGTTGAAAAGCAATATTCCAAGAATCTATATTCTGAAAGCTCCCATTTTCCAAAAATTTAATGGCAACTTTCTCTGTTAAATAGAATTGAAAATTACACCCCTGATATGCCTCATTCTGAAGTAGAAAAGGCATTCAAAAAAGCCTTCAAAGTTTGGTCAGATGTGACTCCTCTGAATTTTACCAGAATGCATGATGGCACTGCTGATATCATGATCTCTTTTGGAACGAAAGGTAATGGTGCACAATCATTTTAAAAACATTTTGATATTCTAACTCTTAACTGGTTCCATTTTTTGTTTCTTCTTTTAGCCATTCATTACTTTTTACAGCATTCAACAAAAATTGACCAAACACCTGTGCTAGGTAATACTGGATACAGTCAGATTCCTGACTCTTGTTTTTGTGTGTAGAGCATGGAGACTTCTACCCATTTGATGGACCCTCCGGTCTGCTGGCTCATGCTTTTCCTCCTGGACCAAATTATGGAGGAGATGCCCATTTTGATGATGATGAAACCTGGACAAGTAGTTCCAAAGGTAATATTTCCTATAAAGATATGATTTACGAACTATTAGACAGTGAACCCACTGATAGGAAGTTAAAAAGCATAAAAGAATAAAATACCAGCTGGGTGTGGTGGCTTATGCCTGTAATCCCATCACTTTGGGAGGCTGAGGCAGGAGGATTTCTTGAACCCAGGAGTTCAAGACTAGCCTGGGCAACATAGTGAGACCTCGTCGCTACAAAAAAAAATTGCAAAACTTAGCCAGGAGTGGTGGTACACGCCTGTAGTATTAGCTACATGGGAGGATGACCTGGTAGGATCTCCTAAACCCAGGAGGTTTAGGTTGCAGTGAGCTGGGATCACGCCCATGCACGCTAGCCTGGGCGTCAGAGTGAGACCCTGTCTCAACAAAGCAAACCAAGAATAAAATACCATATTTGATATTTGTTAATATTTTCTAAAAAGAGTTTATCTCATACATGTTACTGTCTTTACAAGCGATATTTCAACAAATGGTTGTTAAACATTTAAAAATGAACTAAATCTACTTAGTTTATCATTGTGGCTTGAGGGTTACTAATTAACTTTGAAGTGGGAACAAAATGTTTAGTCAATGTATTAGTACTATACATTACCTGTTGGCATATTGAAGTACAATTTATTAGAAATAGATATTTAGAAATGATTAGGGCTAGATTTGTGGGTCATAAATGAATTGGATGTGAATTGAAATCGTTTTGTCCTTGGTGGAAATATTAATGGCAAAAGCTCAGTCAAATTTCTGTTCCCCACTATATAAGTTACTTGATTCCAACTTGACTGTTTCACTCACTTCATAAACACCATTCTGAGAAATCTAGGTAGTGTCTTACTCCAAACACATGGTACAGACAAGGTGAAGGTTGTGTTTGCAAGAGCAAAACGAAACTGAGTGCTGAATGAAATCAGCTAATAGTTGAATCCTGAAGACTCAGAATAAATAGGAATGTTAATTTAGGAAGAAAAGACATAGGCTGTTCTCACTAGGGCCTAGCAACTAGAGGTTGTCTTTGTAGACAGCTGATTTTTTATTCATACAAATTTTTAAAAAATTACTTTCCCAAAGAGTAAAACTGGGCCATAAGTGATTAATTCCTTAACTCCAATGCCTCTAATCTGTCCTTGGAGGGGAAAGTAAAAACATACCTTTATGCTCTGAGTACTTCACAGGCAAAAATGGTTTTAGACTGAAAGAATAACATCTAGTATTGTTCAGACAGAGCACAGTAAATCTCAGATTTAGGTTCCTGTATAAATTCTGGGTTTGAATGTTTAATTGAAATGAATGAAAATATCCACAGACAAATCTGAATTAAATTTTCAGCTGAAGGTCAAGAGTGGTATCCATAACTAGCCATTGCAGTGATCACTCAGATCACGCAACCGCTAATTGTTCTCGTGGTCTGCAAGATTTGCTAAGTCTGTCCATTTTCTTCACTCACAGGCTATGATAGCTAATGACATTTAAGATCAAACTGAATCCACCAGCTCCAGCTGTCGTGTGATCTAAGAAAAAAAGTCACAACGATCCCCATTGCCTTAGACGCCTTATTTTTCTTTCAGTCTTTTCTTTTTTTCCAACTTGAAACACCAGTATTAGGAAACTAAAAATGGGTGGAAAGAATGCCCAGAGGAAACAGTGTAAATACAGTGGTCTTCTAGAGCAAAGATGGCTAATCACGTCTAGAGTTCTGCTTTTCTAAACTCCAGAGTCTAGAGATATTCTGGAAGAATCATTTGGTTGGCATTTGTCTCTACGTGTATATCCAGGGTCCTATTTAGTGCATCCTCCATAGTTGGTCCTTGTTTCTTCGGATGCTGCCTCCTGTTTGGGTGATGTACGAGGCAGCACCTGGCCAAGGTGCCACCCTGTGTGACTCCCCCTGTGTGGGGAAGTCTTGAGGATTCTGAGTCTTGGAGATTCATCTTTGTCCACTTCCCTCGCCTGACCTGAAAGCGCAAAGAGCAAGTCAAAACTCCCAGATCCTTTACAGTAAAGCCTTTTTACTTACCGAGTATATGAGAGCAATCTGTTGACATTCTAATCGTATAGGCAACAGTAATCCGAAGAGCACTACATTATGGATAAGGATTAAATCAATATATATATATTTTTTTGAGAAAGCAGGATTTATTGAGAGGACAGAAAAGCTCCCACAGTGGGAGGGGACCCAAAGGGGTTGTCCCTAAATCAATATTTTGAATCTTCCTTCAAGCAACTGAAAATTGATTTTACAAAGGAAGACAGTGAAGAAAAAGAAAAGAGATAGTAAATTGCCAAGAAAGAAACATATTAAGTAGATGAAGAAAATAGTATTCCTTTCACTAACGGGTGATTGGGATACTGTGTTTTCTCATTGTTTCTTTGTTTTCTTGCAGGCTACAACTTGTTTCTTGTTGCTGCCCATGAATTTGGCCACTCCTTAGGTCTTGACCACTCCAAGGACCCAGGAGCACTCATGTTTCCCATCTATACCTACACTGGCAAAAACCACTTTGTGCTTCCCGATGATGACGTACAGGGAATCCAGACTCTCTACGGTAACTGCCAATTTATCAATCACAAAAGCAGAATAGATACCTTCATCTATCGTTTGAATGGCAGTCATGCACTGGATAGAAATGTGTTGGTCAACGATGAGTCACATATACAGCGGTGGTCTCACAAGATTATAATAGCGTATTTTTACTGTGCCTTTTCTATGTTTGTGTATGTCTAGATGCACAAATACTTACCATTGTGTTTCCAACTGCCAAGGAGTGATAGGTTACACCATACAGCCCAGGTGTGTAGCAGGCTGTACCACCTAGGTGTGAATAAGTATACTCTGGGATGCTCCCACAATGATGAAACCGTCTAATGATGCATTTCTCAGAATGTATCCCTGAGGTTAAGCAACGTATGACCGTACCACTGAATCGACCGCTACCGTTATTACTTTCTTGGTTTTGTTATTAAAACCTGGGAAAATGTCTCCATTTTCTCTTTCCAAATCAAGCCACCTGCTCAAGTAGAAAATATTATATTCTCCTAAGTTTGTGCAGAATATAACTCCTTCCACTTGTATTTTCTACATTGCAAGGTGCATTTGATAGCCTCAAAACACTTCTGCAATAAGAAAGGAAAATATTTTTTTCTCATCTGCCCAATGAAAAAGTTCAGCCCTTTAGAGTTTAAAATAGCGTACCTATGATAGCACAATTAATGGTCAAAGTGAGATCTTGATGGGCGTTTATAAATTCTGAGTCTCCTTACAACCACTCCAATTAGCCACAGCAGAAACCACTCCTGTAGCCTGTGGTCATTTTTAATCAACATCCACTTGACCATTGTGAGAAAATCTTCCCCCAAACTTTCAATAATATTTACAAAATAATTAAACTTCAACCCAACTATTTGCTTATAAATTACCTGTCATAAATAGAGTTAAAGCCACAGTGCACAGTCAGCAATGTAAACACTTCTGGAGCACAGACTTCAGGAAATGTTCTCAGGCCACCCTGGCCTGTTATTGCCCCCCTGGATTTAAATCCACCATAGCAGCTAGTATAGGTGTGGGCATGAATTCAAGGATGGCAAAGGAAAGTTGCCAATTTATTTTGCAATTCTTATTATTTCTAGAATATTCTGACCAAGGGGCAGATGATAGAACTAATATGGCCTAGGTAGAAAAAAAAGCAGTGTAGGAATATTATTGTGCTTTGTACCCCCCTCCTGTCTGCACTTATGTGAGCTGGAAGAAAAGTTACAAACATGTCATATCAGCTGAAGTTTTTGCAGAATATAATTCCTTCCGTTTGTATTTTCTACATTGCAAGGTGCATTTGATACCCTCAAAACACTTCTGCAATAAGAAAGGAAAATATTTTATTCCTCATCTGACCAATGAAGAAATTAAGCCCTGGAGAGTTTAAAATAGTGTACCTATGGTAACATAATTAAAGGTGAAAGTGAGATCTTAACCGACGTTTATAAATTCTAAGCTTGCCACTGAGATGCAGCTGCACTTTGGCAAACTGGTCAAGCCACATGGGCTGACGCTAACAGCTGGTAAAATAGTCTAGAGGGAAAACTGAGATGAGGGTCCCACAGGGACGATAGACCTTCAGAAATGGCTTTAGGAGAAATGTGAGCCAGGTGCAGTGGCTCATGCCTGTCATCCCGGCATTTTGGGAGGCTGAGGTGGGAGGATGGCTTGAAGACAGGAGTCCCAGACCAGCAAGCAGAGCCGCATAGTGAAACCTTGTCTCTATAAAAAGAAAAAAAATTAAGTAAGAAGAAAGAGAGAGAGAGAGAGAGAGAGAGAGAGAGAGAAACAAAAATGTGGTTCTCAAGACACAGGTTGGGCAAAATGTAGGGAAAATTTTCTAAGGTCTTGCTACCCCTCCTCTATTTTTATTACCATCCTCAGGAAACCTAAGTTTAAAGTTCTACAGAATCTCAAGGGGTCTTGAAGGATGGAAACGGAGGCGAGGAAGGAAGTAGGATAACAGGTCATTGGCGCATTCCACAGGAGTTGTAGACAGACTCCGAATTTGACACATAAAAGGGGCGCCCTCTCCAACTCGCCATCGCAAGATCAACCTGTTGTTCTATGCGTCATCATAATGTCACACTCGGTAACTTCTCTCTTGCATTTCACGACTGCAGGTCCAGGAGATGAAGACCCCAACCCTAAACATCCCAAAACGCCAGACAAATGTGACCCCTCCTTATCCCTTGATGCTATTACCAGTCTCCGAGGAGAAACGATGATCTTTAAAGACAGGTACTCTTGAGTTTCTTAAAATCCGTATGTGACCAACTTTTGTGAAGCCGTGTCTGCATTTTGTGAAAACATCTGGTCAAGCTTCCATAGGTGAAGTTAACAGTAAAAACCATAGAACTTTGGGCAGGCAGTTTATTTGCATATTTCAGATCAAATAGATTGACTCGTGGAGACACGTTCTACTTTTCAATGAATGATCTTGATGTTGTACAGCTTCCTTTTATATCTTCAGTTGTCTTCCTTTTTATAAAGATAACCAAGTAAATCTAGACATTAGACTTATTTTGAAAACACAAGTTCTGAAAGTATTGCTATGTCAATGCACACTGTTATCCATAATGTTCAAGTAAATTTGTTTAGGTGTGGATAGACTTTGGCTCTGGATTCATATGCTAGAATTTGAGGGAGGGAATGAAATGAACCTAGAAATGTGACATTAATTTTAAATTTTTAGGCCAGGCACAGTGGCTCCTGCCCATAATCCCAGCACTCTGGGAGGCCAAGGCAGGAGGATTGCTTGAGCCCAGGAGTTCAAGACCAGCCTAGGCAAAATAGCAAGACCTTGTCTCTACAGAAAGTAAAAAAATTAGCAAGGCATGGTCTTAGCGTGCACACTATAGTCTCAGCTACTCAGAAGACTAAGGTGGGAGCATCACCAGAGTCCAGGAGGCTGAGGCTGTGATGAGCTGTGATCACCCCTCTGCATTCCATCCAGCTGAGTGGCAGAACAAGACCCCGATTCAAAACAAAACAAATACATTCAAAATTTTTACATTGTTATAGTATGCTTATTTTTTCATTCATTCATTCATCCATTAACTCAACTCATTCATTGCTCTCTTAGTTGTGACCCAGAAGGACTTTCACCCTCTCTGTTATAACTTCCATTGCCTCGTGTTCTGGGTGTTTTCTCACGTGTCAGTTTCCCCATGCTCTGAGTTCATAGAAGATGAAATTTGTGGAACTCCTGTCTCCTCCCCAGAGTTCAACACTTTGCCTGGCACATTTGCTTGTCCTGTGTAAGATATGTAAAATCGAGTAAGGCCTGGTCTCAACCCACAGAGAGCTTAGAACCCCCCAGAGGCTGTGGGATTTCAAACTTGAACAACTAGGCTAGAGTTAGGGCAGCCACAACTTGTCACTGGCATTTAAAGGGAAATGGATTCCCCCCCATCACAGACTCAAGGGAGTGGTTGTGTCTAAATGATTGCTATCGATGTGGATAGAGCTGGCTAGCAGGGCAGCAATATTGCATCTTAAGAATGTGACAGAAACTCCATATTTTTGCCTTCTTTTTAGATTCTTCTGGCGCCTGCATCCACAGCAGGTTGACGCAGAGTTGTTTCTGACGAAATCATTTTGGCCAGAACTTCCCAACCGTATTGACGCTGCCTATGAGCACCCCTCACGTGACCTTATCTTCATCTTTAGAGGTAAGCCCTCTGCAGGTGAGGCCTCCCACATGGCCCAGGTAGGCAGCGGTGACCTTGATGCCACCAGAGACTCAGTAAAACGGTCACGACTGGAAACCTACCAGTAGTAAAACCTACCTAGATTGAAACAACCAATGGAAGCCAGACAGCACCTGAAACCACCCTACCAAATGCCTCCGAATTTGACACATAAAAGGTCGACATTATTACTTATTATAGCCACTTTTCTCTTAGTTCCTCTTAAAAATTATTTACTGAGAAAATATTATGACAATACAATATGCATTTTGAATATGTAAAATAATATGATCCACGATTCTCCCTTCTGATGTCAGTTTATTTATTTTCTCACTTTGTTAGTCATTCACCATATCTAACACTATTTTTACATCTTTATTTTCATGGTATAGATGCCATTTTTATACTCTACTTGTTCCTTTGACATAAAATCATGAACAATTTTCCAATTTATTACTTTGTCTTAATGACCATAATTTAAAGTGACTATATAGCATTCTATAGATGTTGTTTTTATTGTTCAACTATTATAATTAATGTTATAATGAAGACAGTTTTTGAAGAAAAAAACAACTTTCTAACTGGTATGAAATTTGAGTTTTCAAATTAATTTTTCTGTTTCTACTATTTATTCATGCAGAAATTTTATTGCATTTTTCATCCAGCTCCACATTTAGTATTTAGTTAATAAATTGCCAAATGAGTTGTAATATCTGGTTGGTTATATTCTTTTGTTTTGTTTTTACCACACAAAGTCTATAGCTCAAAGGTTGGACATATTCATCATTAGATTAAGATCTTAAATTTTATTTATTTTTTGTTTGAAGAATGCTTATATTTCTTTTCTTTTTTTTTTTTTTTGAGTTGGAGTCTCACGCTGTTGCCCAGACTGGAGTGCAGTGGCCGCTCCTGGCCACTGCAGCCTTGACCTGCTGGGCTCCAGCAATCCTTCCACCTCAGCCTTTCAAGTAGCAGGAATTACAGGCATGTGCTACCATGCCCAGCTGATTTTTTTAATTTATTGTAGAAATGAGGTCTCGCTGCCCAGGCGGGTCTCGAATCCGCGGGCTCAGGCAATCCGCTCACCTCAACTCCCAAAGGCGCGGGATTACAGGTTGAGTCACTGAGCCTGGCGAATGCTTATATTTCTATGTTTCATAAACATGGTGACTGCAAACATTAAATATCTTACTTCTAAATGTACAAAATGAGTCTCTCCTTGTCGAATTAAATGTCAACATATGTAAGTCCCAGTAGAGCCCCTTGGATCATAAAACTGTTTTTATTCACTTATTCTAGGTAGAAAATTTTGGGCTCTCAATGGTTATGACATTATGGAAGGCTATCCCCAAAAAATATCTGAACTGGGGTTTCCAAAAGAGGTAAAGAAGATAAGTGCAGCTGTTCACTTTGAGGACACAGGCAAGACTCTCTTCTTCTCGGGAAACCAGGTCTGGAGGTATGGCCGCAAAAATGTCCTGACCCTTCTGTGTCATAGGGGCAAAGTGAGCCCCAAGCATCTGTCATTACTGTCAATTATTCTCACGCCTTATTGGAAGTGGCATTCTAGTCATTCATTTCTGTCCCATATCAGATCTTCCAGACAGCCCGAGGCATGCACTTAAACGTCTCAAGTCCTCTCGAAAACACACCACACACACACACACACACACACACGGCCCTCACCTCTTTACAACCATTCTTTATTTCTGAGCCATTTGCGATGCCTCAACCATGGCAAAACCGGGTTTTACTCTGGCATCTTCTTTCCTCCTAATCTTTCACCTGGATTACATATGGCTCCATCTTCTGTGGCCAGAGAGGTCACCAGCATGGGTACAGGGAAAAGGCCAGGTTGAGAGAAGCCCCCTTGTGTCTGTGTCTGCAGAATCAGCGGACTCCTTTGAGGGGTTAACCAGGAAGCCGACAGACCCATAGTTTGTAAAGTCAAACTTTCCAAAGAGCGAGTGGAGCTGGAATCGTGAAAACATACGCAGAGTCAGGTGTCATAAACATGGCGGGATTTAGGAGTCCAGTGTTTGGGAACGAGAATATCTCAGGTCCCTAACACTCAACATGTTTAAAATGGAAGCTTCACGCCAGCTCTGTATACACACAGACACTCACATGCACTCACCCCCATGAACACACATCCCACATCCCTGTCGGTGACATCTTTGCCCTTTGACTTCTTATTTCTGATAGTGACATGTACAACTTCTCAAAGTCACGGCCAGCCTCTGCCTGACACTGTGCTCCATTCCCTACACTCCATAAGAAGCGTGGGATGCAGCCAGGAGGGCTTGCTTCCCAGGCTCAGATACATTCCGACACATCTCCTTACGCAATCTTCTTTGTGGAGAAGTCCTTCCCTGCATCTCTCCCTCTTGAGATTCTACCCATTGTTCAAAGTTCATTTGAAATGTCATTTCATCGACAAGGTCTTTTATTAGTAGTAGTAGTAGCAGTAGTAACAGTAGAGGCGAGTTCTTGCCATGTTGCCCAGGCTGGTCTTGAACTCCTGGGCTCAGGCAATCCACTCACCTCGGCCTCCCAAAGTGCTGGGATGACAGGCGTGAGCCGCCAAGCCCAGCCCCAAAGGCATTTTGATCACCCCAGTCAGAGGTTCTCTCCCTTTCTCCTGGATTCCCATGACATTCCATGCTTACTCCTTCCTGCTTAACTTCTATTGGCTGGGATTGCAGTTGTGTGAATACATAACTTCGCTTTCTTGATAGTCCAGCATTTCTTACTTTTCACTTGTTAGAACACACTCAAGGACGTAAAAAACTCTCAGCTGTAACAGCAGCGCCTTACGGGAGCCTTCTCTCCTAAGTGGATTTCAGAATGTGTATGTGTGGCCAAGGAGCAGGTCTGGGCAGGGGGAAGGAACATGGACACGCAGCCACAGAAGGGGAAAGCTATGCTCCCCTTCCTACTTTTAGGGTTACCGCACACCCCTACCACTGTTTAGTTCAGAAATTAAACCTTACATGCTTTTGTTTCCATGACTGCACGCATGGTGGGAGATGAACAGATGACTGTCCTATGCACAAACATACATTGATTTCACTCTGAGAACACTTTCCCCATGACATTTCTTTAGAACAGATACTTCATTTATGACATGGAAATGAGCTTGTCACTATCTTTGCAAAGAGGGCCTTTAGGCCAGTCAACAACTACTCCCCAAGTGTCCACTAGACACTTGGTGCTCTCATTCCTCATTTTAAAAAGCTACCAGATGTTTTAAACGGACTTAAAATTTTGAACCTCTCGGCAATTTTGAAAGGTGCCTTTATATCCATTATGTTATTTCTAAGATAATTTCTAAGAAACGTAACCTACTTAACAGTTTCTTTTCCTTACTAAATAGCTATGATGATACTAACCATGTTATGGATAAAGACTACCCCAGATTCATAGAAGAGGTCTTCCCAGGAATTGGTGATAAAGTGGATGCTGTCTACGAGAAAAACGGTAACTAGTTACATGGCACTGGCCTTAAGCGCTTCTCAGTGCCCCCAAACCCTTTCCTGTTCAAAGGATTTTATATCAAACTTAGATGTGCTACAAAATGTATGGCAGTTAGGGAACTAATCACTCCTGTGTGACTACTTACACAGATGGCAGACAAACAAACAAAAAACATACTTCGAAGGAATGAGAATTTTACTTAATGACTTCTAATTCTGTAAATAAGAGCTGCCAAGCCTTAAACATTATCTTAAATTTTGCTTTAAAATGCCAAGGTGTGCCGGGCATGGTGTCTCATGCCTATAATCCCAGCATTTTGGGAGGCGGAGGCAAGAGGATTGCCTGAGCCTAGGGGTTTGAGACCAGCCTGGGCAACTTGGCAAGACCTCGTCTCTACAATAAATCAAAAACTTAGCCGGGTGTGGTGGCATGCCCCTGTGGTTCCAGCTGAGATGGGAGGATCACCTGAGGCTGGCAGGTGGAGACTGTGGTAGCTATGAGGGTGTCACCTCACTCCAGTCTGGAAGACAGTGAAACTCCGACCAAAAAAAAAAAAAAAAAAAACCAAGATGCAAAGGGTATTTATTACCAGAATTCAAACTGGAGGTGGAATGGGAAGTAATTTATATACAAAGTCTCATCACTACCATAATTACATAACAATTTGTTTGCTTTAATTATGCAGAGGAATATTATCCTTAACTTACAAAAAATAACTAATACCAATTCTTTCATTATCAAATTAATTCTAGATGACATTTCAGGAAAGCTGGGAACATTTATACCTTTTAAAAAACCATAAGCGATACATTAACACATTAAAAGGGGATAAAAATTAAAAGTTGAAATTTTTAAAATATGGGATCCTAAGAGGTTGGCTGTCAATATTAGCAGGAGTAAATATTATTTTCAAACTCTAACCTGTTCTCTGTGGTCTTTTTCTTGTAGGTTACATCTATTTTTTCAATGGACCCATACAGTTTGAATTTAGCGTCTGGAGTAAACGTATTGTCCGAGTCATGACAGCAAATTCTCTATTGTGGTGTTAAGTGTCTTTTAAACGTTGTTATTTAAATCCTGAAGCACATCTGGGATAATACTTCCAGAAGTTTGGGAGTGGGAGGGAGAGGGAAGAGACATCAGGGGAAAGCTTAGTTCTGTGAACAAGCTGCCGTAAGTTATCATGGAATATGTAGTATCTCTATTACTATGCGTGGCTGGAACCACATTGAAGAGTTTTAAAGTTATGACACAGAGGGACTCTGAGGAGCGCCTGATTTTTGAGTGCTTTAGAGAAGCAAGGGTCGATGAGTTTCCCACACCCAAAATGAGACCTATGGTGAGGTCAAGAACATTTAAAATGTGTGTATATGGAAACTTCACAAAGGCATAAACGTAAATCACATTTATAGGATCAATGAATCATCCTTACTAAACAGTATAATATAGCATGAAAATGGAGTTTGGGGAGCATACAGCTATACATACATATAGATCAATAAAAGGGAAGTGTGTGTGATAAATAGATTGTAGGCAACTTTCCAAAGAAGTGATATCTGTTTTGCACTGAGAATATTCAGATGTTCATGCTCCTCTTCACCCAGACACTAAGAAGATACCAAAGTCACTTAAGAAAGGATTCAAAGAACACTGGTGAGAACAGTAGACATGGCCTTTGGATTCTGTTTAAATTTCACTTTTGGCAATGACTGGAGAGGTGCTCTCAAGTGAGGCAAATGTTTCTTTGTGAATTTGTAGAAGATAAAAAGAGACAACCTCTCTCTCTCCTTTCTTTTTCTTTCTTCTTCCTCTTTTTTTTTTTTTTTTTTTGAGTCAAGGCTCACTCTGTCACCCAGGCTGGAGCGCAGTGGCACAATCACAGCTCAGCCTCGACCTCCTGGGCTCAGGTGATCTTCCCACCTCAGCCTCCTGACTAGCTGGGACTACAAGCATGCACCACTACACCCAGTTGATTTTTTGTTTGTTTTTATTTTTTATAGAGATGAGGTCTCACTATGTTGCCCAGGCTGGTCAACCTCTCTTTTTATTAAAATATTTCAGGTCTTTCCAAAGTCACACAGTAAACAATTACAAAAAAACTTTTGCCTAAATAATCTAAGGCCATGACATCACTTTTTCATAAATCATTTGATTATTTAGGACTAAAAGTAGCGTTTTAACCCTATTTTATCTAGCTAATTATTTTAATTATCCAATTTGCCTTGGATATATAGGTTATTTTCTACAGACTTGTATAGCATGAAATAAAACATATGTCACAAATTGGGAGTATGTATGTTAAAAAAGAGGTATCTAAAATAAATAAAGCAATCTACTAGACTGTGATCTCTTGAGTTATGGGACTGTGCCTTTTCTCTCTGGTTTTTTTTTTTTTTCTTTTTTAAATTTCCCAGCTCATTTCACAGCGCCTGACACTTGGGAGGGCACTTGACACTTGCTGGATCCATGAATGGCCACCAAGGGAAGAACCACTGGGCTGAAAGATCTTGCTCATAAAAACTCAGGCAAAGAAAACGAAAGTTTTCTTTGCCAAATATTTGCAAAAGATATTAGGAAGTGTTTATGTTGTTTATAATAAAAAGATATTTTCAACAGACACTGTCACATATGTTTAGTCTTTGATTTTAAGCTTTTCTCACACAAAAACAGCCCATTGTCAATATTTCTTGATGGATGTCATTTACTCGCTGCTTTTTTTTTTTTTTTGGTGAGAAGACTAAGTTCAGAATTTAGAAATCACTGTACCAGGTGATGTGTGCAAGTGCTCTGGTAGAGTTGGCCAGCCTCACGCTGATGGGTCCCTTCTCTCTGGGCCCGCTTCCCCAGATGAAGGCCACACATGTCTCAGACTCTTCCCCGCTGAGGGTGTTGTTTGGTCGCAAAGTCGAAAGAGCACTAGACCTGGAGTCTGAAAGATGGACTCCTCTGTGAACTCTGCCGTGTATCTGGGGAAGATCACGGTATCTCTTTGGGCCGTACTTTTCTCACCTGTGGCACGAGGGGCCTGGCAGCTGTGGTGGGGTTGGGGAAGGATGGGTCAGGAGGCTACAATGAGGAAAGCAAGCATCTAGCTGGAAACCTCAGGGTCCTGGGCTTAGAAAATACAGGCCCAGGCCAGCCACTGGGGCTCACGCCTGTCATCACGACACTTTGGGAGGCCAAGGAGAGAGGACGGCTTGAGCCCAGGGATTGAAGAGCAGCCTGGGCCAGTTGGTGAGACCTTGTCTCTACAATAAATCAAAACATTAGCTGGGTGTGATGATGACACCTGTAGGCCTAGCTACTTGGAAGGCTGAGGAAGAAGGATTGCCTGAGCCCAGAATGTCAAGGATGTGGTAGCCATATCATGCCACTGAGCTCTAGCCTGGGGTACAGTATAAGACTCTGACTTCAAAAAGAAAAAAAAATTATATATATATATATATGTTTAAACTTGATCTCAGAAACATTTCCCCCATGTTTTATCATTGCTTGTATGGTATTTCTTTCAGAGAGATAGATAGATATAAAGGTATATAGTCAAGATTATTTCCTGACTTCCATCTTTAGTCAACCCAAATTCCAATCTAACTGATGTCCCCTGGATCAGTGTCCTTCCACTGTGGCCAGAGCATCAAATTCTAGTGATACCCAATGCCTCTTTGGAGCTTACCCCTGGAGACAGGGCTAGTGTCTAAAGAGAGCTCATTAAGCATTAAGCAGATGTTTCCAACAGGATCTTCTTTGAAACAGGTTACAGGTAAAATACATAGAGCCTGTTTGCACAGATATTTGTAAATGGGGTGAAGGGACCAAGTGAATGCTGTGTGAGAAGGAATATTATATTTGCAAATTAGTCCAGAGCTCATGCAGTAGGAACTGCTCAGCCTCCACTAGAACTGCAACTAGTCGTGGCCTCTTCATCATATAATGAGAGCAAAAGCTTGAAAAAGCCCTTTGAGTGAACCAATAGCCCAAATGTTTTCGAAATTAGAGAAACTGACAAGATATGGGTGTAACAGTTATATGGGTGTAACAGTTTGCCCTTGAATTACCCTGGGAGGACTTTCGTGTTAAACTAAAAATATTGCCCTGTATTTCCACATCCTCTTCTCATATTAAAAATGCCAAAACATATACAGCAGGCTGCGTAGAAAGACAGCCACCATATCAAGCTACCAAGTTTCAGCCCCATCGCAGAAAACACCTTGATTTTAAAGGATCCATTGTGAGCCTGTGAGATTTCTAACAGTTCCACTAGGTGGCACCAGCAACACCCTTTTTAAAGTGTACAAATGTTCGGATAATTCGTGGAAGTCACAAAACCAGGGCTTTGTTCTTTAATGCAGGGATGAGGATCTTGGCCAATTATGCGCTGATTGTTTAATTCCTGACTCGATGTTACTGACTCTCAAATAAGGTGGAGCAGCTATGGAGTTCAAGAGCAGCTTGCTCCAGCTTCCTCGGTGATACGTGTGTCCCTGTCGCTGATCTCACGGAGGCGAGTGGGTTGGTGTGTCATGTTAAGCCGCCGACCTGCGGCACGACCCCCTGGAGCGGGGGCTTGTGAATCATCACAGGCCTCTGGGTGACAGACTCCAACATGAACCACAAAATGTACAACGCACACAACCCACAGCATCAGTGCTCCAAAGAGAAGCCAGACTGACGTTGTTCCAGCAGCAAGAGAAAGGGAAGCTTGGATTTATCGTGGCAAACTACCAGGCATGATCTCTTTGGTTTTCCAATAGAAAGATGAATGCCCTGTCTGTAAGGGATTATCATGCTGTCTTTTTTTTTTTTTTTTGAGTTGGAGTCTCACTCCGTCGCCCAAGCTGGAGTGCAGTGGCACGCTCATGGCTCAGCCTTCCAAGTAGCTGGAACTACAGGCGTGCGCCACCACGCCCGGCTAGTTTTTGTGATTTATTGTAGAGACGAGGTCTCACCAAGTTGCCCAGACTGGTCTCGAATATCGTGCTGTCTTTTGCCTGACCTGAATGGTCAACCCTGTCAAACCTGTATCCTAGAAGTGGATTCTGTGGGAAGGGAAATCTCTCTTTCATGTGAATGCATGTGAGTGTGAACAGGTCAAATTCACTCTGTGTGCATGTGAGTGTGAACAGGTCGAATTCTGTTGCCTACATGCTGTCTCAGTTGCACACACACACACGCACACGCGCGCACACACACACACACACACACACACACACAGAGTATATTCAAATTTCACCATAACCTACTCTAGAATTAATCATGGTGCCATGCAATTATGTCACCACACACTCACTGGGCAAGGAATTCTGTCTCAAGTCTTGATTGCAGTGGGACTGGACTCACAGCATTCAAATTCACCTGTTCGGTGCTCTCATTTTCACAGCTTTATGCTGGATTAAAGAACATCGTCCAAGCCATCCTTAGCTGTGTCTCCATCTCCTCTCCCAAAAAGATTTAAAATTATTTTCTCTTGCTTTTAATAGACTGGGCACTGTCAGGTATGGTGGCTCACGCCTGTAATCTCAGGACTTTGGGAGGCTGAGGTGGGAGGATCGCTTGCTTGGGCCCAGGAGTTCGAGACCGGCCTGAGCAACATAGCAAGACCTCATCTCTACAAATGATGATGATGACGGTGATAATAATAAAACTAGCCAGGTGTGGTGGTGTGCACCTGTCGTTCCAGCAACTGAGGCAGGAGGATTATCAGAGCCCAGGAAGTCGAGGCTACTGTGAGCCATAGTCGCGCCACTGCACTCGAGCATGGGTGACAGGAGCCACTGACTCAAAAATAAACTAACACCTACATAATGGACTGGGCACTAAAGGACAGCACTGTACACGGCCTGAGCAGAGCAGTTCACTTGACCCTTCTGATTCTCTCTGGCAGGGAGTGCTGTGCTCTGTGATTAAGGGCGTGGCCTTTCTGGGTTGTGTACTTTGACTAGCCGGGGTCTCTGCTCAGTCAGTGCCCCGTGCCTCGTGCCTCGGGGCTTTGCTTCCAAAACAATTCAAGGAAAGAGGTCTGTGAGCTAGGACTGCTTCCGAACACATGGGGTGCAGCGTGTGTGCTTGTGTGGCTCCATTTTTGGTCAGCTCTGGTTTTTGATCATTCTGAGCGGAGCCAAGGGCTGAGACACATCACCCGCCATGGCTCTAGCCAAGCTCGTTTCTCTGAATCCACTTCCCAGGCCTTATTCCTTAATATGTCAACTATCTCCTAAAGGCTGGGTGCAGCAACTCATGCCTGTAATCTCAGCACTTTGGGAGGCCAAGGCAGGAGGATCGCTTGAGGCCAGGAGTTCAAGACCAGCCTGAGCAACATAACAAGACACCCTCTCTAATGTGTGTGTGTGTGTGTGTGTGTGTGTGTGTGTGTGTGTGTGTATGATATCTTCGAAGTAGCTGTATTCCCAGTTTCATAGAAAACATCTCAATTGCTTATTTGCTTGAATAACAGCAAGATAAAATAAAGGCCAAGGAAGCAGGGTAACGGGGAAGTGAAATATTGAGCTGCATTTTGCATTAGTAGTAATGGAAGTGGAGTCCTTGGCAACAAAAACCAAGGATTATG